TATTGCATATAATAATATCATTTGTATAATATAAATGTGTCGTTCGTATTGTATATTTTAGTCCACTGTGTGTTAACTTTGTACTTTGTTAGATATTTATTAAGTTTTCGTTCAGTGTCATGTTATTAGTTCTGTAGTTTGTTCATCATTATATTATTAAGTCATTGTTCATTGTCTTGTAGACTGTTTGACATGATTGAAATTGTTCAGAGTTAATCTGAAGTTCGTGCATAGTTTACCATTCAATGACAGTATTGTTTTCACAATAAATCGTTTGAAATCGTTATTAATATCATATGTGCTTCAGAGACCTGCAGAATCTCATGAGTGCTGTGTAAGATTGTAAATCGTGTGTTTTATTTATTAAATTTGCTCAAGTATTACTAGTAATTTCTTTTTACTTTGCTGTGAAACTAATGAATCATGCTAGTAAAATGTATATCCAGTGTTGCAATGATATCCTTCTTTAATCATTGCTGTCTGCATTCGTTTACGTTCATATATGTGTTAAGCATCCAGCAATAGCTGATTTATGTCTTCAGATTGAAGCTTTGCATTGATTGTATGTTGTAATATTAATAATGTTATTTGTTTTTGCCAGATTGCTTCATTCTGAGATCAATAAGGTTTTATGCTAACATATATTTGTTGTATAGATATTATATCTGGCTGCAGGCAGCTTGCTATGTGTCTAGGTGCATTGTGTATGTATTATATCATGAATGTATTGTTTGTTTGTTCACTTTATGTTATTGTATATATTTGTATATTAATGTTGCATTCTGTAATGAATCGTTTCTGATGCATCCTGAGTAACTATACAATCTGTTGCATTATTTCTTCAATAGCCAACATAATTATCTGTTGTAAATTGTTAGTAATGTACGTTCATATTATTTGTTATTAACAGTGTTATTGTGAATTGTTGTGATTGTGATGTCATGAATATTTATTAGTATTATGGCTATTGTTCTTTGCTTTTTCTTTTGCAAAGAATGATGTATTGTAACACAATCTGCATATAATTGATATATCAGATTATGTTTACTATAATAGTCTCCTAGCATACTTTAGTTAATCTAGTGGTATGTGCAATTGTAGTATTTGTTCAATGTTTTATTTGTTAATTGATTTGCTAGGTAAAACGTTTTATATATTGGTTTTATTTATTTTATTTGAATCATTGTATAGATATACTTATTAGTATCTATCCAATGTATTTCATAATGTTATAATGCTGTTCATGCTTGTATTAATTGCACAGTGAGGGCAAATTAATTGTTTGTACAAGAATTGATTTAATAGTTTTATTTAATTATATGTATGTGCTCCATACTTGTTTATATAGTTATTATCTTTGTATTGTTCGATTGTAGTTGTGAATTATATTGCAATTATATTTGTATTATTGTATGGATGTATTATTTATCGTTTTATGTATGTTCCAAAGTATTATTTTTGTTATTCATCACTTTTATCTATGAACTATAGTCTGGATTGATGAATTATTTTGTTATATGATGTGATATTTGTTTGTATTTTATTTATTTTCGTATTAAACTTTGTTAAGTTAATCAGATTATTATATTAATATTATTTGCCAAGTATGAGCATTTGTTTTGTAGTGGAATTATTATTTATTTAACATTGAAGTTCAATTGCACATTGTGTTGACTTCCATTATTTGTTCCAATCAATGTTATTTTGTGTTGCATCGAATGATTTACCTTTGTGATCCATTATATCTGTCTGTAACTTCTATCACTTATTGTTTTTTTAGGATCAGTAATAAGATTGACGTTTCTGCATCATGAATATTCATTTGTTCATCTGCAGTTTTGCATTGTGAACATTTGTGTATTTGCTGCAAAGAATGCTTTGGGAATATGTGCCATTTCTAGGCTTTATTATTATTAATTTATTAATTATCTGTTTGAATAACTTTTATAAGCATTGAAAATGTTATGTAATGTATAACTTTTATATTCTTTAATAAGGTATTTTGTGTTCAACAGATTTGTCAGATTCATTGCAGATTTCACTTAGTGACATAGTCAATATGTCTGCATTAAGAATTCAATGTTCATCATTAGTGTGTATATTATTCAATTACTCCCCTTCAATTTGAGAAGGTTATTCTTTAAGTAATTGACAAGTAGTGTAAGTACATAAGTACATTGTTGATTTCCTTTCATGTATTTGTAATCTAACAAGTAGTGTTAATACTTTGTTGTTTTACTTTTGTACGTTTGTTAGTATGTGTTATAATATAACAGTATGTTTTAAGTTAACTTGTAATGTTTGACATACATCATTTTGTTTAAACATTACACTGTAATGTTGTGCTGTTTGTTTTATAAATTTTAATGTAATGTTTGTAATATGTCTGTAATATTTCAGACATGCTAAGAAATCTCTCTGTGTGTTTACAGTTACAACATTGGTTGTGCATCTATTCATATCTCTGATAAGATGTAATAGATATGCTTGTGTCTGCTTTTCTTTATATATTATACTGTCTGAGATAATGTGTTAAACGTTTTATTAATTTATTTAATCTTATTATATTATGATTGTTTTTGTTTGTAATCATTATAATAAGTGTGTCTGTTGTAGTTTTTCTGTTGTTTGTTGTACTAGCCATATTGGCATAGTACTTCACTTGTATATAAGCTTTGTAGCTTCAATATAAGTTTATTTATGCTTTGTTAAAGTATATCTACATTCTGTGCAATTAAATATGTTCTGTTACATTGTTGTAGTAATGGTAGAGGTATTATTCTACTGTTTGCTGTTATTATACATTGTTATTATATATTTACACTATCATAGGTGTAAAGTATTGTTATTTGTTTAAAGACTATAATTGTGTACTTGTTCCTGTACCATAGTTACTGTAATGTACTTTATAACTTTATTATTATTATTATTATTAATTCGTCCATAGATAATTGTATGCTTTCATAAGCTGTATTAGTGCATAGATATCAGATGTCTTAGATATCAGATGGATATCTACTAACTTGTTTATCTCATATCTGACATGTCCAACATATCCGAGACATGTCTTACATTAATTGTTTGGCTGTGATATTACTATATGTGTCATTATTTTATTTATACTATAATATATACACGTTTGTTGACAGTGTCAATCATTTGTGCTATTATAATATTAATAGCAGATGAGTAGTGTTTGCTTTCTCAATCCTTCTAACGTTTGTCCATAGTATGATCAGTTATTTATAATAACATGATCTCTGTAATATTATAGAATATTTTAGTGATTAAATGTTGTAGTAAGTGATACTCATTGTAGTATCAGCATTGCCTGCATAGATTATGTTATTACTGGGCCAATGATCATAATCACTAAGATGACAATCATATAATGTCTGGGTTGTATGTAGTATAGTAGATTGTGTGTCTACAGTGTATCAATTCGTGTTTGGGATACTCAGACAGGTGTGTTGAGTTCCACATCATAGTATGCTGTGTGCATGCATGTGATGTGTAGAACTGGATGGAGCATAGACATAGTAGAGTGTAGATAAAGCATAGGCAGGGAGTGCAAGGCTCATAACCTGTTGAGAGGGATTATGTGAGAGGCTTAGAGGGATCACACAAAGAGGGGGGATAGTGGACTTGGCTCACTCTCCTTAGCATCATTGTCTGTTGATTCAGTAGGTATATTTTACCGTATATATAATATGTAGCTATGTCTCGGGTACGTCCGTTGCTTATATGCGTCATTCCATATATGTTAACAACTTTTCTCGAAGACTGATTTGTGGTGTTCACCAGCTTGGTTCTCCGCGAACAACGCAATCTCTTGTGTTTTAACCTTAGCTTAGTTACGTTACGTAAGTACCAGTCACGGAAGGATCGACATCACGTGCGGCAGTGAACCTCTACCAAGTCTACGTGTCACCGAACGCGACGGACACTTGTAGTCGACTCCCTTGCATACATTTCATCTTGTAAAAAGCTGCAGGTCTTACCTGCCTTGCAGCGAGTATGGATGGCATAGAGTTAGGGAGGGGGAAACGGAAGACGACGTGGATCGGTTTGTGCGTCGTCGCACTCGCAACTTTCGCTGCTGGCCAACTTGAGAGTGGGACCGGAGAGGCTTCAAAGGCATTGTCGGTTGCGGTGAGCCAGAGAGTCCATCAATTCAATGAGTTGATGCTGAGAGACTTCATAATTAGACAGAGGCAAGCTTGGTACCTAATGTACAGGCGACTGACCTTCCAAAGGTTGAACATGAAAGTGCAGCTGCTCAGGATCCGATGGAAGAAGGTATATATTGAATGCTTCCGTAAATTTACTTTTTATACTTACAGTAGTTTATTTAGCAAACAAAGCCTATAAGCAAGCATTGCATACGCTCGCAGGATTAAACGCATACCCTCCTCAATATACACCAGGCATTCTCGACGTCCAACCCAATTCTCTTCTCTCTACACTGTTTCCAAATCAACAAGGTCCCATTGCAAGTACGATCCGTATCATTTACAAGCTACGACATCAATCTTGGTTACCACGATTTCTAAGCCGAAGGCTCGGTCAGGATGGAGGGGTGAGGAAGAGTGAAAGGGAGATGCAGGGGAGAGCGTTGAAAGTCGTCGATCTGCTAGAACATGCAGTTGAGTTGGGCCACACGGATGCTTTATATAAGCTTGCGCATGTTTCTTTGGTTCGCGTCTTTATTTATTCTGCTAGTCTGAAGAATTACTGACTATTTAGTTCTAATTAGTTCCATTTATCTCCATTATTACACAACGTCACTCGAGCGTACGAAGCCTATTCTGCGCATGCGTCCTTAATAGGAAATGCGACTTCGCAGGCCATGCTTGGATTCTTCCATGCAACCGGCTATAGCAATATTGTGGAGGTTGACCAGGCGAAAGCACTGCTATATTACACCTTTGCAGCGCACGGCGGGGATCAGGGAGCACAAATGGCTCTCGGGTATCGGCATTGGGCTGGTATCAGTGTCAATGATGAGTGTATGCAAGCACTCGAATGGTATCAGATGGCTGCTGAACAATGTAAGCTAATTTTCTGTTTCTTAATATGCTGTTATTGACTATTAACATTAGCGATGGCGAAGTTCCTTTCCGGCCCACCAGGTGGTCGCACGTTATTACATACCGCGACAAGACTCTCGGACCTTGACGGTGGTGCTTTTGGACCGGGTGCAAGTGTCGCATCTACAGGCCCGAATGCACATAGAGCGGTCATTAAGGCTGCATCTGCTCGTCAAGCTGGAGAGACTTGGGAGGATGTACTCGAATACTACATGGTATGTTCGAGGCAGGTCGTCGTTGACAAATGTACTCACAATTCCTGCTCAGTTCAATGCAGATCGCGGCGAGATCGACTTCGCGTACCGCCTAGGTAAAATATTCTACCAAGGCTCGATATATGCGCTTCCCGGTGGGGCCGCATCCGGGGCAGAAGGTGTTGGTGCAATCTCTCGGGACTATGCTCGCGCACGATCATATTTCCTCCGCATTGCGCGGCACATATGGCAACGTGATACACCAGGTGCACCAACGCCGCCACCAAAGCAAGAATACAAGGAGGATGGTACTCTCAGTTTTGCTGCAGCGTCCGCGGGTTTCCTTGGTAGGATGTACCTACGAGGAGAAGGTGTAAAGCAGGATCCTGCAATAGCAAAGATGTGGTTTGAGCGCGGCGCAGAGTTTGGGGATAAGGAGTGTCATAATGGTCTAGGTATTATCCTGCGGGATGGGCTCGTAGAAGGGAAGAAGGATATAAAGAAAGCGATAGGGCATTTTATGATAGCGGCTAACCAGGAACTTGCGGAAGCGCAGGTGAATCTCGGGAAGTATCAGTACCGTACGTGTTTTTCGGCTTCTCTACGAAAATTAGTTCTTCTAACTATTGACATAGAAAAGGGCGACCTAAAACTCGCAACGACCTACTTCGAAAGCGCCATCCGTCACGGCTCACCTTTTGAACCATATTTCTACCTTGCTGAGATCCACGCTTCGTCTGCACAGAACCCGGCAAGCCCCCCTCACCACGTTCAAGGTTCCTGTGCCATGGCAGTTTCCTTTTACAAGCTCGTCGCAGAACGAGGTGCTTGGGCAGATGACCCAGTTCGTGAAGGTGAAGCTAGGTGGAAATTAGGCATGGAAAGAGCGAAGGAAGATGCCATGCTTAGATGGTGGATTGCGTCCGAGAGGGGAATAGAGCCTGCGCAGAATAACTTGGCGTATATCCTTGATCAAGGTTTGTCACATCCATTTCTTTTACACATATGTTCTAACACGGCCCTCATCGCACTTAAGATAAGAGCATTCTACGCTTCACACGCTTTGCGCCGTTTTCACCTTCCAACACAACTGCGCGTCTCGCACTCACGCAATGGATGCGGTCTGCATACCAACGTAACATCGACGCGCTGGTCAAAGTTGGGGATTACTACTTCCATGGTTTTGGCATTTCCGATGAGGAGTTATTGACGTCGGAGGAGAAATCGTTGTCGGGGGAAGAAAGGAAGAAGAAAAGATGGGAAAGGGCAGCAGCGTTTTATCAGAGTGCTGTTGATACCCAAGTGAGTGCGATGGCGATGTGGAACTTAGGGTGGATGTATGAGAATGGTGTCGGTGTTCCGCAGGTAAGTTGCTCGTTTTCTTTACCGCTTCTTGTTGTCTTATCCAACGTTGATTGTTGTACATACGCTAATTTCCATGGGTAGGATTTCCACCTCGCGAAACGCCATTACGACTTAGCCCTTGAGACGAATAGCGAAGCCTATCTCCCAGTAGTACTCTCATTAATCAAGCTGCACGTTCGAAGTTTCTGGCATACCCTCACAGGAGGCCAGAACGGATTATCCCTCTGGCCTGAGGAAGGTACGTAACTCATGCCTGTCTAATGCAGAGGCCTATAATAAACTAATCATGAAATCACTTTCTTGAACTTACAATAGCGTACCAAACACAGACAGAGCAACAGACTCTGACTGGGTCTTCTGACGAGCGTGGAGAGGGCGGTGAACTCACTGCTCAGCGCGATGAGGAGTATATGGACACAACAGATGATGCAAAATGGTATAAAGGAAAAGCAAAAGACGATCATCGACGAAGAATGCGTGGTGCTGAGGATCGGAGGCTGAGTGAGGAAGATCCTATACAGGTAATTCTTCTTCCACCTCTTCTCGTATCTAACATTCCTTCTCACCCGCGTTGTAATTTATTTCACTTGCCATACAGTGGGCACGCGAACGACGCGCAGCCGATTCCGAACGCGACCAGGGCGACTACGATTTCGGTCCTGAAGATTACTTCGACGGCGCCATGCGTGGTCCGGGTCGTCGAGATCGTAATCACGAAGAGGAAGAAGTAGATGATTTCGCGGAGACGATGTTGCTTGTCATCTTATGTCTCCTTGTATCCGTGTTGATGTATGTCCGAGGACAGTGGTTTGAGAGGAGACGAAGGGAGGAGGAAGAGAGGAGGAATGCGGCTGGGAGAGGTGGTGCAGCACCGCAAGGGCAGCAACAGCAACAGCAGAATGTTGGGAATCCGAACGGAGGCGGTGGTGGGCTTTTCCCGCCTGAGGGAGATCCTGCGAGGGACGAGTGGGCGGTCATGCGATAGCCTTTGGTCCTGCTATATCTACTCATTTGTACAATAGAAACGTCGCATTGTTCCCCTGTCTAATTTTGAGATGTGGTGGGATGCGGTGACTGAGCGAGTTTATTCGACAGAGGAAATAGTCCGCAAGAGTATGGCTGTGCTCCTAGATTCCATCGCTTTTGCGTAGGCATCTCTGAAGTGAACACAAGCCAGAGCGAGGCAGTCGTACTCCTCGCTTACTTTCTCATTCACTGTTTTCTCCAAATACTAGAAACCCAGATATCAACGCCTTCCTGAAGCGAATAGTATGAATGGCGTGAAGCTTACCAGTTCTCTCAGCCAGAGGAGAAAGCGCAACGAATACCTTGAAATGATGTGTACTTCGTTATCGTCGTTCGGGGAACCAGTGTCGCTACTGGCTTCGCATCTCTGCCTTGCTGCGATGAGGATGTTTCTAGCCAACGACTCAGCTTCTGTCGTCATCTCATTCTGGGTCTTGACCGCCGGATCCTCTGAAATATTTGCAGTAGCCCGTTTTCTGAACATGAGGAGATTCCGACGTAAGTAAAGCCAAAGCGCTTCATGGGAGGGAAATGCCTCGACCAGGTTGAGTGTATTCCTGATACATGCGATTGCATGTCTCAGCCCGGGAAACTCATCCTCGGGCACCAGATCTCTTCCCGAAGGAGTGACAGGGAAAAATTCGTCCAGCGCATCTACGATACGGCACATATAGTCCATGGCGGAATGGTCGGAAACGTGCCTACTGATCCAGAGGTTTACGTCCTCAAGCTCTGATGTTAGGACGTTTTTGAGGTCTATCATCGGTAGATTGACTAGAGACCCAGAGTTGTAAGTAAGGAAGGACCGTAAGCAGAGGGTACGATGATACCACGCGAAGTAATTTCGTGGATAGAGTTCGCATGCATGGCGTACGACGTTGAACTCGGTTTGTAACGCGGAAACAGACAGATCGGCGTTTGCGACGAAGTGATCATCTGTATGTAAAGGTATCACATTATCCTTGTCGCATTTAATCGCGAACTGATCCTTTGTACTCGTGGGATAGAGGTGTGAAAGAAGTATCCGTCGATGGTGCCACAACATGGAAACCTTTGCGCACTCCTTCGCAGACAGAAGTACAGCTGTGAAGATAAGTTCGCTACGTATGGCGTCCATTCCGTAAATGCTGAAGTCTGGGCGAAAGATAATCGTCTTTCGAATGTTCAATGCGCTCTGATGCCCAGGATTCGCAAGTAAGATGACACTTGTCAGACCCAGAGCTTGTCGTCTGTCTACATCTTCGTTTGTTCGTAGTTTCTGAAGATACATCCTTGGATTTCCGAGCATAGTTACAGCTGCAACGTAGGTCTTGTAAAGTACCTTCTCTGGTACGCCTATGTTTCCTTCGACGAACAGAAACGGTGTATAGATATTATCTGGGTAGGATTCGAGCCATTCTTCTCCAGAACCTGGAATTAGCTCAATAGTCTTTCTAAATATCTATTATTTTTATGTGTCACTATTATATGAAATGAAAACATCCTTACGGAGCGCTGGTGAGGAGATGAGCCAATTTCGAGATGTTATCCATAGCGTATAATTGGAGAGTGAAGATCACCCAAATTAGGATTAAAAAGGAGCACATGGGGCATTTCACAAT